GTTGCCAGGGATTCAGGGTTATAAGACTAGCCCAATCCTGATAATCCTTAACCCCGAATCCGAAGCCCTAAAGCCGTTGCACCCATAGTCCCAAACCTTAAAACGAAGAAAAGCCAATCCCTACCCCACGCTCTCCTGCAGGTTCGGCCTCCACAGGCGCTCATTGCCTGCAACACGGCCATGGCGCCTTCGCGGTGTTTACGAGGAATGCTGCGTTATTCCTACACACATTTTTGGGGAGGTGTGAGGGCCTGGCGCCTTGAAGGGCACAGGAGTTCTGTAGACATCGTGGGCTCGGGTACTGGGGGAGTTCAGACTTAGGCTCCTCTCAGCTCGTGCTCAAATCCCTCGTCCCAATCGTAGCCTCCCTTAGGCGTAAACCCCTCAAGCCCAGACTTAGGCCCTGAGTGCGGCCCTATCTACTTACATACTCGACCGACGAGCTCATACTTTCGAACAAATCTTAAAAGCCGATGTGAAAACGCGCCAAATTTCCAACCCCAGAGACCGAATCAACCTGATCTCCTGAGGCCACCCTCGAGCGCGCCTCACGCTGGGCCGGCGCCATTGCGATCTTCGAAGCGCTGCCGCGGCAGCCGCCGGGCGTGTATCAGAGGGCTCTGGCGAAAGTGGTGAAATGAGTTCACGGGCTTGCTAAACCTAAAATCCCATGGCTGAAAAAACCACCAAACCAAAACTTTATACCCTAAGCATCCCTAAGCTATTAAGCTTAGAAAAAAAACTATGAGGACAATTCAAAAACACAGCCCGGTAATTCCCTTTTTTTGGGAAGCGAAGGTCCCTGGCGCCCAGCGGCGCCTCCTTGACCACCGCCCTGCTGGCGTTGCGCTCCGGTTCCCTCTGGCAGGCGCCAGCCGGAGACACATTTTTCGGTTTGCAAGGGTTGAAAAGAGGGACAGCTGATGTTCTCGATACGCCCTGCAGTTTCTCTCTCCCCACTTGCTTGTGAGTGACTGGTTTGGAATGTTCGGGATGCTTAGGAGCCGGCCCAGGTTTCCAGAGAGGCGAGCTGATGACGCATGAGATGTTTGTTCAACGTGGATTTTGCAAGTATTGAACTACAGTTTTCGAAGCTCAACAGATCTTGTTTTGGAGGTTCAAAATCTGCAGCGATTGCGGTTGGTTCTGAACTTACAAAGAGACTCTTTCACAACTTCTCCACAGCCACCTCTTCAAAGCACTCAAAGTCTCCAAACAGCTGCTGACACCTGCGTTCTCCAAGCTCCCAAACCTCCCGAACAAAAAGAAGGACTCGAAACCAAGTTGCAGGTTCGGGGATTGCTGTGTAAACCTAGGGCCGCATATCATCAGCATCAGCGGGCCTGTGTGCAAACCTCGGCCCACAGAGGCCGCGCGTCATCAGCATCAGCGGGCCTCTGTGCAAACCTGGGCCCGCAGAGGACGCGCATCATCAGCATCAGCGCACCTCTGTGCAAACCTTGGTCCACAGAGGCCTCGCATCATTAGCATCAGCGGGCTTCTGTGCAAACCTTAGCCCACGGTGGCTGCGCATCATCAGCATCAGCGGGCCTCTGTGCAAACCTGGGCCCGCAGAGGCCGTGCATCATCAGCATCAGCAGGCCTCTGTGCAAACCTGGGCCCACAGAGCGGGCCTCTGTGCAAACCTGGGCCCACAGAGGCCGTGCATCATCAGCATCAGCGCGCCTCTGTGCAAACCTTGGCCCACAGAGGCCGCGCATCATCAGCATCAGCAGGCCTCTGTGCAAACCTTGGCCCGCAGAGGACGCGCATCATCAGCATCAGCGCACCTCTGTGCAAACCTTGGTCCACAGAGGCCTCGCATCATTAGCATCAGCGGGCTTCTGTGCAAGCCTTAGCCCACGGTGGCTGCGCATCATCAGCATCAGCGGGCCTCTGTGCAAACCTGGGCCCGCAGAGGCCGTGCATCATCAGCATCAGCAGGCCTCTGTGCAAACCTGGGCCCACAGAGCGGGCCTCTGTGCAAACCTGGGCCCACAGAGGCCGTGCATCATCAGCATCAGCACGCCTCTGTGCAAACCTTGGCCCACAGAGGCCGCGCATCATCAGCATCAGCAGGCCTCTGTGCAAACCTTGGCCCGCAGAAGCCGCACATCATCAGCATCTGCAGGCCTCTGTGCAAACCTGGGCCCACTGATGCTGATGATGCGCGGCCTCTGTGGGCCAAGCTTTGCACAGAGGCGCGCTGATGCTGATGATGCGCGGCGTCTGTGGGCCAAGGTTTGCACATGGGCCCACTGATGCTGATGATGTGCGGCCTCTTGGTGCCCAGGTTTGCACAGAGGCTCGCTGATGCTGATGATGCCCGCTCCACAGAGGCCCGCTGATGCTGATGCGCGGCCTCTGTGGGCCAAGGTTTGCACAGAGACCTGCTGATGCTGATGACGCGCGGCCGCCCAGGTTTGCACAGAGGCGCGCTGATGCTGATGATGCACGGCCTCTGTGGGCCCAGGTTTGCACAGAAGCCCGATGATGCGCGGCCTGCGTGGGCCCAGGTTTGCACAGAGGCCCGCTGATGCTGATGATGCGCGGCCACTGTGGGCCAAGGTCAGAGGCTCGCTGATGCTGATGGGCCCAGGTTTGCACAGAGACCTGTTGATTCTGATGATGCGCGGCCTCTGTGGGCCAAGGTTTGCACAGAGTCCCGCGGATGCTGATGATGCGCGGCCACCGTGGGCTAAGGTTTGCACAGAAGCCCGCTGATGCTAATGATGCGAGGACTCCGTGGGCCAAGGTTTGCACAGAGGCGCGCTGATGCTGATGATGCGTGTCCTCTGCGGACCGTTTGCACAGAGGCCTGCTGATGCTAATGATGCACGGCCTCTGTGGGCCCAGGTTTGCACAGAGGCCCCCTGATGCTGATGATGCGCGGCCTCTTGGTGCCCCTTTTTGCACAGAGGCCCGCTGATGCTGATGATGCGCGGCCTCTGCAGGCCAAGCTTTGCACAGAGGCCCGCTGATGCTGATGATGCGCGGCCTCTGTGGGCCAAGGTTTGCACGTGGGCCCGCTGATGCTGATGATGCACGGCGTCTTGGTGCCAAGGTTTACACAGGGGCCCGCTGATGCTGATGATGCGCGGCCTCTGTGGGCCAAGGTTTGCTCAGAGGCCTGCAGAGGCCCGCTGATTCTGATGATGCGCAGCCTCTGTGAGCTAGGGTTTGACACAGAGGCTCACTGATGCTGGTGGGCCCAGGTTTGCAAAGAGGCCTGAATCTGATGATGCGCGGCCTCTGTGGGCCAAGGTTTGCACAGAGGCCCGCTGATGCTGATGATGCGCGGAACACAGAGGCCCGCTGATGCTGATGGTGCGCGGCCTCTGTGGGCCCAGGTTTGCACAGAGGCCCGCTGATGCTGATGATGCGCGGCCTCTGTGGGCTAAGGTTTGCACAGAGGCTCGCTGATGCTGTTGGGCCCAGGTTTGCAAAGACGCCTGCTGATTCTGATGATGCGTGGCCTCTGTGGGCCAAGGTTTGCACAGAGGCCCGCTGATGCTGATGATGCGCGACCTCTGTGGGCCAAGGTTTGCACAGATGCCCGCTGATGCTGATGATGCGCAGCCTCGTAGTGCCAAGGTTTACACAGGGGCCCGCTGATGCTGATGATGCGCGGCCTCTGTGGGCTAAGGTTTGCACAGAGGCCTGCTGATGCTGATGATGCGCGGCCTCTGTGGGCCAAGGTTTGCACAGAGACGCGCTGATGCTGATGATGCGCGGCCTCTGTAGGCCAAGGTTTGCACAGAGGCTTGCTGATTCTGATGATGCGCGGCCTCTGTGGGCCAAGGTTTGCACAGAGGCCCGCTGATGCTGATGATGCGCGGCCGCCGTGGGCTAAGGTTTGCACAGAAGCCAGCTGATGCTGATGATGCGAGGCCTCTGCGGGCCTCTGTGCAAACTTGGGGCTTAACAGCCCGAGCCATTCCTAAACCTTAATTTGGACACCATATATTAAAGCCAATGAACATTTTGCCAACCTAAACCGATGATGGAACCTCGGAGAAAGGCTGCACTGTCGCTGCTTGCCGTCGCGAAGTCGGCTGCCCAGCCTGTGAGAGCAGGGCAGGTGCTATCTGTTTTCGATTAGGGTTCCAGGGTTTCGGGTTGAAAGTCCTTTGGGCTTTGGTCCAGAAGTTTGAAATCCTGTGTTCCTAAATCCCAAGCCAAACCCGAGGCCCTGAGCAGCAAAACTAGGTTTGGACTTGTGGTATGTTGGGAGGCCCGAAACCCAACACCCAAAACCTAAGCTCCAAACCCTTAAACACTCCGTGAACCAATCTCAACAGGCAGATCCTCAACCCGAAGCCCGGTGAACCCAAGTTCTGATACCTTGAACCCTAAACGCTAAACCCTAAACCCTAAACCTAAACCCTACACCAAAGACCCCCAACTCAGAGCATCAGAGGAAGCCGGATCTGCGGAGCCAGAACGCGGCCTTGGCGGCTTGCGAGGCTTCGACCACCACTGCATATGATGGGGGAGGGAAGTCGTCGGGAATCCATGGTTCTACGTAAGGTTTTGGGTTTAGCGTTTCGGGCTATGTTGGAGGTTTTAATCACAAGCCCCTTGGCTGTAAGTTTATGAATAAGCTTCTGAACCAGCTTTCTGAATACCGACCTCGAGCTGAAAACCTAAAATTGGCAAGCTTCATCCTGAAGTTCAGCCTGACAAAGGATGGCTCTTCTCACAAGAGACCATGTCATCTCAGGGAACCAGAGCCAATATCCTTTAACTTTGGGCCTGTACCCTGGACCCCTCGATCCACTAAACGACAGAGGGGGCGGCCCTCCATCCCTGACCCCTACAAGCACACTGTTAAACCCGTTGGAAGCAGAAAAAGCCGATGATAACTAATTCATAATGACCCCATAATGACGCCACAACAACTCCATAAATAACACCCATCGCAACCTGTAGTAACTTTGTAACATCCCGTCGTAGCACCCATATAGTAAAGCTACAAAGTCCCGACGTCAACCTATGAAGGCCGGATCTGCCTGGCCGGCGGCGCTGGCGCTGTTTGCGCGGGCGCCGCCCGGGGAGCTCGTGGCGCGGAACACCACGCCGCTGGGATTCTGTCCGGGCGTCGACGTTTCGGAATTATAGAAGGGCTGGTTGAAGTCGTGGACTCCTGGAGTTTAGGGTCAAGGGTTTGAAATTAAGGAGACCTCTGTGTACAGGCCGCACATCATCAGCATCAGCAAACCTAGGCCCAGCCTGGATCCAAGCTTTGAGCACAAACAAGCCACACATCATTTGCCTCAACCGGCTTCTGTGAAAAAGGCTGTGAATCATGAGAGGCCACGAAGCACCAGCATGCATCAGCCAGCCTCTGTGTAATCCC